GAAGAAGAAGAAGAAGAAGAAGAAGAAGAAGAAGAAGAAGAAGAAGAAGAAGAAGAAGAAGAAGAAGAAGAAGAAGAAGAAGAAGAAGTTGGATTTATAACCCGCCCTTCACTACCCAAAGGTATCTCAGAGCAGCTTACAAACTCCTTTCCCTTTCCCTCCCCACAACAGACACCCTGTGAGGTAGGTGGGGCTCAGAGAGCTCTTGACAACTGCTCTTTTTCAAGAACAGCTCTTATCAGAACTACGGCTTGCCCAAGGTCATCCAGCCAGGTACAAGTGGAGGAGTGGGGAATCAAACACGGTTCTCCCAGATTAGAGTTCGCCTACCTAACCACTACACCAAACTGGCTCAGAAGCCGGTTGGCTGGAACTGGGGTGTTTGGGACTAGAAGGTTGCTGTCCCCTGCCCAATCGCCGCCACCTCAGGTGACCACTTCAGACTGCTCCCATTACACAGCCAGCCTTCCATTTCTGCCGAAGCACAAAAAGGGCCTCTCTTCTCACACCCTCAGCAAGACCAGGCTCCTTTTGAGCAAAAGCCCCCAGACCTCAGAAGAGCCTCCATTCACAGTCAAGTTACCTGAAATGTTGAAGTGTGGAATCAAAGCAGCATTTATTCCACCCTAACCTGGGTAGCCCAGGCAAGCCCAATCTCGTCAGCTCTCGGAAGCTAAGCAGGGCTGACTCTGGCAAGTATTTGGATGGGAGACCTCCAAAGAATACCAGGGCTGGGAGGCAGAGGCAGGCTATCAAGCCACTTCTCCGAACGTCCTCCGTGCCCCAGTAGGAGTCGCTAGAGGATGCCATGACTCCAAGGCATGGGCACACACACACACAAAAATGCAAAAATACCCCCCCCCAAAGGAGTATTTATTCTGTAAGCATGGCGTCAAAGTTTAAAGGTGGGGGAGCTATCGTAGCACATGCAGAATATTTCCCCCTCACGGCCAGCTTTGCTGTTAATCATCTGCACAAGACCGGCAGCACTGCAGTTAACATGCTAATTTCTCTTCATAAAAGTCCGCAGCAGAGCAGGTAATATGAAAGTGGGCTAGATAGACTGTGAACTAGTTAACGTTTAAACAATACAATTTTTGATAGATTAAATGAAACTGACACCCTCATCACCCAGGTTCTCTGCTTGCGTTTGTTCGGTTGCTTTATTCCCAGACCAAGCAACGGACAAGGTCTGCATTCAGATAAAAAGTTTTCAAAATCATTTACAGAGAAAGCAGGATGGTAAATAAACAGCTTCTGCTGATGGCATGGAATGTTAAAAAGACCTGCTTGCAAAACCCACAGATTATCCAGAAAGGGAGATTCCTGGTTAGCGCTCAGCTCTCCTGTCCCACCTCTAACTCCCTGCCCATCGGCATCTTCTTCTCTCTGAGCCTCAGCTATCCCCTCTCAATTCATTCCCCAAGGATTGAACTACATAGTACAGTTTTTTCTATTTTAAACTTTTTTTGCACTTTTCCAAATGTGGATCAAAGGATTTTTTTGTTGTTGTAAAGCAGATAACAGCATGAAAAGTGGGAGGGGGGGTTAACCCTTAACCTCCAAGCTGCTTTTACTTCAGTTGAGTACCTGTATTTTTTTTCTCCAATGGGCTAAAACAGCTTAAGGATGGCTTTTCCAGGGAGAAAACAGCACAGTCTCCCCCACACTCTCCAGCTTGACAAAGCGATCCTGGCAGCTAAATTTGCAAAAACCAAACAATCCCCAGATCGACTGTTTAAAATAGGTGGATGTTCCTTCGTTACTAAATGAGAGACGTGGCCACAGCCAGTGTGCTGTAGTGGTCGGAGTGTCAGGCTAGGATCTGGGAGACTCAGGTTCGAATCCTTGCTTTGCCATGGAAGCTCACTGGCTAACCTTGGGTGAGCCACTTACACTCAGCCTGACCTACCTCGCAGGGTTTTTTGTAAGGATAAAATGGAGAAAAGGACAGGAATATGTTGTCGAAGGCTTTCACGACCGGAGTTCATTCGTTGCTGTAGATTTTCCGGGATGTGTGGCCGTGGTCTTGGCATTGTAGAACCTGACACTCCACATAATTATATAAAGCCAAAGCTTATACAAAAACCAAAGCTGTTCAAACCTACTTACCACCTATTTCTCCATTACTTGTGCAATGAAATAGGTGGTAAGTCGGTTTGAACAGCTTTGGGAACCTGACGCTCCGCCAGTAAAAGGACAGGAATGTAATAAGCCACGTTGAGTTGCCGTTAGGGAGAAAATTGGCATGTATCTAAATAAATAAATGCTGGTCTTTGGGGGGGGGGATAGAGAAGAGGGGATCTGGCTCGCTTTCTGCCTCAAAGAACACAATCCAGCAAGTTTAAACATTTTTAAAACCGGTGTTCCGCGCCAGTAGTCCGAGTGCAATGCAGAGGGAGACCTAGAATATCCTTTTAACTCCCGTCCAT